CCGAGCGCCCCCGTCTTCATTAGCCCAGGTTAGGAGCCGGGGGCAGTTTCACAAAAGTTCGTAACTTTAAGAAAAAAAACGACGTTAAGAAAAACTTACGAAAAAGATACGAATTATTTACGCCGGTTTCACAAAGGCCGGCGTAAGTTTTTTCTTAACTTTTTCTCGTATCTTTTTTCGTAAATACGTCACGAATGGTCGTGACGTCATGTTGCGTCACTTCATTCACACTTCTGTAAACATTCCCACGGACTGAATGTTGACAATGTCGGCAGTATAGCCGTTATGTTTGATTTGATCCTTACCTTTTGAAACATAAACGACGAAATGATATATTCCTTATATATGCTAAGATTTAGCGGTGTATTTATGAATAAAATGCTATTTTCATGCCTGTTGTTTACTTGTTTTTGTTTGCTACGTCATAGCGCGTGACATATAGTACCATACGTCGTCTGTAAGTCTGCCAAAAGCCGAAATGGAACCAAAAAGGCGAAAACAAAATTGGAACCCGGCAGCTCTCGGTGTTTTAATTGAGGGGGTTGAACAGAATTATGGGATTCTGAAAGGAAAATTAAGCAGCAGTTTGACTAGGTCATCAAAAGACGGAGTATGGGAGAATATTTGTACAGTAAGTGTCGGTCTTTGCCGCGATAGGCTTACATACATGTAGTACAGGGCCTAGTAATAGCCTACTGCATTAATACTAATAGTAATGCCATAGTCTTGTTTAATGAAAACTAGCGTACTGAGATTATTTTTCCTGAGCTCCTGTTTGTGATAAATTAAATACTATGTAAATGTTGTAGTATATGCTGGCTTACAACCGAAGGCCCACGAGGCCCTATACTTACTACGCTTCACTTCAGCCTGAGACTGCAAAGCCTAGGCCTATAGCCTATAGGCATACCGGTACTAATCCGACCCTGGCCATTAAAGGGAATTTCATATCAATCGTGAAGTCTGAACACTAGTCTCAAATTATGTAAATTTTACTTGCAGAGTGAACAGCGTTAAAACAAGACGATAATTCGTACGTTTACCTGAGTTTAGAATCAGCTGTTGCTTGAACATTAATGGAATGAAACCCTTTCCTGCAGACGAACAGCGGCTCATTTTCTCCCGATGGTGCTATGATGGCAACTTGTGGACCATCAATCGTTCCCACTACATTTGGGAAGCCTGCTATTTGGTGAAAACCTTCCTTTGTAGAATTGATATCTTCCATGGAATAGGGGAAATTTATTGATAATTTATCGTCAACACAGGTTGTTATTGCTCGTGAAACACGATAAATTACTCTAGACACTGATGGTACACTCACCCCATGTGCATCAGCAATGAGTTTTTGGAAGCTACCTGTGGCATAGTATCGTAATGCAATCAGGACTTGTAACAGGTGATGACAAGGATTTCGATCGGTAAGTTGCGGTTTCGATATCATCATTAATACAGTTAATAACATGTAATATAGTGGTCCGATCAAGTCTGTACCGCGAAACTAACTCCTCATCTGTATGAGTGTCGAGGGGGTTTAATCTATCCCTGAATATTCTCTCTCGCCGAAGTTGCCGATCCGCATAAAGTAACAAGGCGGCCATTTTGTCAAAAGATACGAAAAAAATTCCAACTTACGACAAGGTGAGAGTTGCCGTAGACTTTACGATAAAAGTTACGAATTTCGTAAGTTAAGAATTTTAGTGAAACGCGATTTTTACGTAAGTTTACGTTACGATAAACTTACGCAAATTTTTCATCGTAAGTTGCTTTGTGAAACTTCCCCCAGAACAGTAGGACGTTAAACTCCATTTCACCCGAGCGCCTTTTAGTTTTAGTCTTACAACTCTTAGTCTTTGCAACTTGTGTTGCAATGCAGTAAACACCACAAACTTTCAAACTCACTTGGTACAGTGACAGTCCCCAACGATTTTTACAATATCGATGCAGTTTGTTATTATTAATTATTTTTATTATTGAAGGTTGGTAAAGTATCAAAGTAGGAGGTTTTTTTTGCGAGCTGAAGGCCCCAACCCACGGAGCTCCGAAGGCACTAGACGTTAATTAACATAAGAGGGTTTGGGGGCATGCCTACTCGGAGATTTTTTATTTTTTGGCTTGGGCATTCAATATGGTTCAATTTGGATGATTTTATACCACTTTCAATAGTCTACACTTAAAGGCCAATATAATAGGGCTATGAATGCAAAATTGATTTATTAATGGAATTATTTACAAATAAGTCTATTTGATAAAGCTACATTTGAATAGCATAAAATAAAACCAAGTACGAACAATCCAAACCATGAGACAGAATTCGAAGTCCTAAAAAACGTTATAGGCAAAATAGTGTGTTCAAGCAAAATAGTGTAATCAGCAAATGGACTGCTCTTCGTGTACAAAATACACGACAAACAGTGGTAACAGGTGTCCGGAAGAGTAAGCTTACCCTGCCTGGCGCCACACCCGCCATAGCTGCATCCAAACTATTAGGCGAAATGTCAGTAAAATAGCGTGATTGGCCAATGAACTATCGGTATGTAAAATGCACGCGATGAACTGTGTTAACGATGTAGTAGACAATATCAGGGAGATAGTATACGTGTCAATTAAATATATCTACAATAATAGCCGAGAGAGACACGTTATATTTATCAATCAAATCAATATGACGGCCATAAAACTTTTTAAAGGTTTTAATAAGTTTAGTGCGCAAGTATCCTTGTAGTTGAAGCTTGGATGACAAATGCCTCGATCTACTTAAAAAATCAGAATAAAAGGAACAAGCTCTCGCGTAACGAATTAGCTGAGACACAAACACTCCATAAGCTGGTGATATTGGAATGTTACTACTAATAAATGGAAAGTTAACAATCGGAAAGACAAAGTCATCACGTTTATCGTACAATTTAACACTCAGTTTATGGCAATTGTCAAAATCGAGACGCAGATCCAAGTAGAGTTTACAGATTGAAGATATCTTTATTAGAAGCCAAGATATGACCATTTATATTCGGTGAATCGGGGTACTTTTTGTCTAAAATTTTACATAGACTCTTTGAGAGAAAGTCTCAAGCAATTTAAAATAGACTGAAAGGTCACAGGGGTCAATGGCACAAAATTCAGGAATTAACAATGGATCAGAAGCACATAATAATGCATAATACCTGGACAAAATATAGAGTATGGCGGGAAAAAAAAAATTGGTCGACCCCGATGTCGGCCATTTTGAATAAATTAAAAACAAAAAATGCGTAATATTGTTGAAATCGTAACTATTTATATTTAAATTCCTGTTACATTTACAGAATAATAAACAATTAATACAACATCTAACCAAATAAGAATCATGGTGATGCAAATATGCAAATTAGGTGATGTCAGCCATATTTTATTCCAAGATGGCCACCATTATATAATCTTGTATGGAGTTTATAAGTGTCTATATGTGTAACAAAAATAAGTGGTGTATTCATTAAAAATTCTTAATCAAACCTTACTAAAAAAAATAATTGGTCGATATTGGCCATTTTGAAATTCAAGATGGCTGCCACAATTCCAAGATGGCTGCCACCAGCGTCCACAAACTATTTTATCGCAAACCAAAAAAAAAAAAAAAACTGAACAAATGTCATCATCCAATATATCAAACTGAAGCAAATCTAAACAGCAATTCAAAAATAACACCTTTGCACTTCTTAAACCATTACAGTAATAACAGACAAGACAAATATAACTTAGGAGTAAAAAAAATCAAAAAGTATCATGTTTAAATGTATTTTCTGTGATAGAAAAGTCATGCAATGTTGCATTAGCATTTAGGAATCAAAGGGAGGTAATAGGACAGAGTTCACTCCCCTTAGACCACAAGTTTGATTTATCTGAGAAAAATTCTGTAAGATTCTGAATATTTTATACAAAACTGATCATTTTTGGTGGTTGCTCAGTGAACATTGCTAAGTAACATTATAATCATCTAAATTCCATTTTTGTCTGTCAAATTAAAATATTTACAATATCAGTCATTCTATTTACTGCATTTTAGTAATGATAGTGACCCTTGTAAAATTAAGGATAAAGTTAATATCAAGCCCTGTTTTTTTCTTCCCATGGAAGAAAATCAACAGATTTTACAAATCCACTAGCAAACGAATTTTACATGTAATTATAAAGTGCAATATTTATATAAAATTGTGCTGTATAAATAGTACTGAATCAAAACATCACACTAATGATTATTTTGTTCACATAAGTATTTGCAATATATCCTTTTAGTTTTACTGTTTATTTTGGTGTTTTTTACTGCCACAACATGTTGTTTTACGTAGTAGGTATTTGTAATCCTGCTCTCAACCCTCCTCCTTTCACAGCTCGGGCTTGGGACAGGCCACGGCGGATTTAAACAGGACAACACTTACACAGACAACACACACAAGAGACCAGTTACAATAACACACGATATAATGAACAATTGTGATGAGAAACACACACGACGAATACGGTTCTACTACTTTTTCAATCGTTTATCATTGAAATGGATCTTGTCAGTCAAAAAATCATCCGGAAGCTTAATATTTCTGAAAAATACAAAAAAAAAAAGACTTGAAACGATCATACACAAGACGGTTAATTGATTTTCTTTGTGATTCATACACGTCTAATGTAAGACCGGGTGATTTTAAAAAATTGTCCCGTTCAACAATAACCCCCACATATACACGTCTGCAGCCCGCTGCCTTAATCTTTACTATAAGAGCACACAAACTCTGTAAAATAGCACGTGGGGACGATGAAACACTGATGTCGTTACCACCTAAATGAATAAACACAAAATCAGGACAAAAGGTTAGAAACAAGAGCCTGAGACGGATTAGTTGCCTTCACCCCCCCCCCCCTTTCCGAAAAACCTCACATCACCAGGAACACATAAATTAGAACCACAATACTTATCTAGACGAGCCACTAAACTTGAACCAACTATACCAATTTTAACCATGGCGTGTTTAATCTGAAAAATAAGATGTACAGGGATACATAATACTATTTTAAAGATACATAATGTTATGGAATATACAGGCAATTCATACATGTATTGTTACATCAATTCATAATAAACTGTTCATAGTGAACTGTTCTTAATGAACTGTTGCATTACTCTAGTCAGCACTGAAAATATTAAATAATGGTATAACTTGACCAGTATTTCTTAAATGTGCTGACAGAAATAAGGAAACCAAGGAAAATGAACTAAAGTAAGAAAATAAGCAAGACAAACATCATCTACACGTTTCCCTACATAACGAAAAAAACAACTCAATAACAAAATTAAGAATACCAGTTTGAATAAAACAAAGGAAATGCCTATGTGTATAGCGTCCTTGGGTCCCCGTATCATTCTGTCATAAAATGCAAAGATGCTGACAGAGAATCAACCAAATAAAGAACTCTAAGATTAATGTGCCTTTTAAGATAAAATAATATAAATGAAATGGGGTTTAACGTCCTACTCTTCTGCACCTAACCTGGGCTAATTGAAGACGGGCATACGCCATACAGTGTGCTATGAGGGAAATTTTGCCCGGGCAGCGGCGCTACGGCCTACTCTTATATCGAATTCCAACTGCCAAGGGATCTTTTACGTGCACGCCAATGTGTACACGGGACCTCGGTTTTACGTCCCATTCGAACGACTAGGCAGCTGTCCTTGTCAGACCCTCCATTCTGCATCACTGACAAGGGGAAACTACGCCGGAAAATCGAGATGAACTTTCTCGGCCAATGCAGGGATCGAACACCCGACCTCCAGGCTAGCGAGCCAGCGCCCTACCCACTTAGCCACGTGATCCCCCTAAAATAATATAGTAAACTTAAAAGTAGACGAGAAGTGAGAAAAATCACATAGCCACGCAAAAAATTAGTTGGAAGTGAAATGCCTTTGCTTTTGAAGACCTTATGTATAAACATTGTCTCTAAAAATCAAGGTTGTTAAAGTTTAGAGGTAAGTAATATCACATTGTGTATCCTCCTCATGTACGCTACATGCCACCGACATGGGTGGAGAGTGAAAACTATGTGGGATTACTCATCTTCAACTATTAAGTCACCATTTTTTAAATCAATTAATAAGGGAAAGAACCAAGTATCATTAGGACAATCATCATACACAATTTCATATTCTGACTTTATAACATCAGCTTTTAATCTGGTTATTCCAGTAACTTTTGCCTTAAACCATTGAATTGAACTATCGAGTTCTTTGCATTTATGTTGTACACTTTTATTTACAAGGTCATATGGGTGGTCAAGATACAGAGGTAATTTTGTTTTCTGTTGTTTTAATAATCTTTGTTGTCGTTCTGCCTTTAATTTTGCAAATAGTGTTTCTTTTTGAGAAACAAATATCTCAGAAACTTCTTCTTGAGTTTTATAATATAAAGAATTGTCAGATTTTTCCACAGTGTTGTCAAAGTTTAAAGACAAAATTTGTTTCAAGTTGCATGTATCAAATTTAGTTTTTTGGGCCGATTCTTGAAATAGCTCTCTAGGACCAGAAGAGTTTAAAACCAATTTATGGAATTTAATCTGGCATAAAACAGCATCATGGATAAATTGTTCTTTCTGTTTCTCATCAGTTATGTTTAAAGACAACTTAGAGATACTACCATCTACTTCATCAACAGACCAAATACCTCCATACCTTGTAATTTCCCTACTTACAGCCAATTTAATATTTTGTCGGTTTTCTTCAAATTTAAGTTTTTGAGATTTTTTTTCTGCCAATCTCTCTTCAATTTGTTTTTGAATATTCTTCTGACGTTCACGGAAATTCTTCACATATGTTGGTCCAAATTTCATTGCATGTTTTAAAACATTGTCTTTCTCGTTTTCAGACATAGTTTCAAGCCAGACAGAAGGTTTATTTCTAGTCCACATCAAAATTGTTTCTAGAGACATGGTAGAAGAAGATGGCTTGATGCGCAAAAGGTTGTCAAGAATAGCCATATCTCTTTCGCTAATGACATTAGTTGTTGGCACATTAGATGAAGTCTCCAGTAGACTGACAGAAGGACTAAAATACTTTCCTCCTGGCAGTCTGCTTTAGATCTTCCCATATCTCAATTTTTAATACCTTTCAATGATTTTAAATTTTCTATAAATTCTTTTATATATGACCGCTGGCAACGGTCTTGGGATCTTGCAGACACAAATCAACTTCATCACATTAAACCTCTCATAGAAGACTGGCCAAACTCCTATAGAACCAACAGGAGGGATGAAGTTGTTTTGTGTCGCTCTCGTATTGGTCATACTTTTTTAACTCACATTTTCATTTTGAAGCGAGAGCCGCAACCAGAATGTGTTCACTGTCATGTTCCTTTGACAGTTAAGCACATTTTGATTGAGTGCAATCATCTCAAGAATGTAAGATCAAACTATTACCGTTGCCAGTCACTACATCAATTATTTGCTCAACCGGAGCTGTATGGAAAATTGTTAAACTTTTTAAGAGACAAACTTTTATTACAAATTTTAATTGTATATATATATCCGTATTTTTGTTTTTAATTATTTATCTACATAAAGGACTTATATTTATTTTTAACAACATTGTCTGTGATACTTGTTTTTATTTATGTATATAAATATATTTATGTGATATTGATTTAATTTGTCTCGTCAAAGTCACCATGTGTTTGGCACCATATAGCCCGCTTGGAGCTGACGTGCCATAAAACTCCATTTCATTTCATTTCACTTTCCTCCTGGTAACTGTGTTGCCGCTTGTCGTTCCAAGATAATCAGCAATTGTGCACTTAAAAGTTCAAGAGCAATTACAGTTAAAGAATCCAATTGTGAGTCATTGAAAAGAACATCATGAAATTTAGAAGATTTGTACGCAATAACATGTAGAGGAAACAATGGTGTGCCTTTAAGCGGCTCTGACCCATCATTGGCCCAGGTTGTCAAAGTCAGTTTCATTTGATGAAGTTCATCATTAATTTCCAGGATGGATCCAGCTTTCTCTAAGAGTAACCAAAACGGTGTGGTGACCAGTTCGTAAAAAATGCCCATTGCCCTAGCTCCAGCCAAAAAGACCTTTTCTTTTACATCAAAAAAAAAAAGGGCTTGCAATAAACCATTTGGATCCTTCCAATCTTTAAGGATATCACAAATGTCTTCTTTATGAAAAAATACTGCTGCACAGTTGTAAAATGCAATATTTATTCGATGGCCATGAAAAGTTAGCAAAGCGTTTTCAGTTCCACGACTTTGGAGAAACACATTCCAGTAGCTCGCTATACCATTCTTATCAGAACCTCTTTTTGTCAATGCAGTAGCAGCATTTCTAGCTAATCTGAATGTGCCACTGTCATTGGACTTAAATGCAAATGGATTTTTGCCTTCAGTGACAGTATCTTCAAACAGTCTAAGGGCTTTGTCTGCCGCTATTCCAAAGTTAGCCAGAAGATGCAAACGACACGCAAATTTGCCCATGTCCGATATTCTTTCCTGGTCAATTTTGGAGAGATTACAAAAATTGGTATAACCTTTGGAAGATCTCTAATTTTGGAAATTGCATCATTAAAAACTGGATTTGTGGCGCACTGGTCGCTTAAAAAGGACTTAAATGAAGTGATTAATTTGGCTTTATACTCGCCATCATTAACGGAATCACTTGAAAAAGACAATACGATGTCATCTATAATATTTTGAAAGGCATTTACATATGTATTAGCATCCCCGCCTCCAACATTACAAAGACGCAAGGATAAATTACTACCATCCTTTAAAGTAGCCTGCATGCCTTCATAATGTTGGCTAAATTTGGTGGTTGCATCTTGATGCAAAACATTACCAATGTCAGAAGTGGGATCAAAGTCTTTTAATAAAGCAGTGCCCACCTGTCTACAAGCAACATACTTTGCTTCAGGCAAGATTCTCTTGCTAAGCAAGGTCTGACTCGGAAGTTTATTTGGTACGGAACCTGTAAGTTTTGTTACAACAGAATTAATAACAAAGGGTATTTTATTCTGACTTACTCCCCCTTCGGTCAATAATTCCATAGAACATTCTCTGGCATCAGATGTACATTGCCCATTTTCATATGTTTTTAATACATCTAATGGATTATTCAATTCATGATTCTCATTTTCTAGTAAACGGACTTCTAAATTTAGATCTCTAATATGCTGTGTATATTTATCATATTCAATGTCAAATAAACTTTTAAAGTCAGTTTTTGCCTTTTCTAATCTTTTGATCTTTTTATTGAGTTGATAAATTCTGGATTTTAAAATCTTCGAGTTTGCATGTTTTTTGTCTGCCCTAGATTGTTCTTTTGAATCTGCAACTAATAGCTGTAAGTCCTCGTTTTCTGACCTTAAATTTTGAATCAATTCCTGAGTATCATGCAACTCTGCTTCCTTGCCTAAAAATTGAGACCACAAATTTTCATTTTCTGACCTTAAATTTTGAATAAATTCCTGAGTATCATGCAACTCTGCTTCCTTGCCTAAAAATTGAGACCACAAATTTTCATTTTCACCTTGCACATTCTTTAGTTGCTCGCATAAAGACACAATTTTGTTTTCCTTTCTTTTAAGTTTACTGTCATTTCTAGTATTTGAATATAACTTTTCTCTTGTGGCCTTCAACTGTTCGAAAACAGAATCCAGTTTCTTAGCTTGCTGCTGATTTATATTGTCAAGTTGTTCAAGACTTATTTTATCCTGATTAGCACTTTCACATTGGTCATTTAATTTTTCCTCATAATTTTTGAAAATAACACAAAAAGTCTTTGTAACTATGTCATAATTTGAATTTAAAATATCATAATTTTCAGAGAATAAGTTTAACTTAAGTGTCTGATTTAATTTTTCCTGTAAATTAGGTTTCCTTAAGTTTCAAATACCTCAGCGGGCTTTAAAATGGGAAATTCAAACACGGAATCTAAATATTGATTATATGTAGCAATATTTTTCTTCCTTAATTTCTTACTTTTATCATTCACCAGTCTAATTTTCTTCTTTAAACTTTTAACATTGAAAGAATCCGAATTTTTGCCTGATATAGCAATTAAATGATCAGTACATTGATCACGATTGTCAAAATACTGCAATAGTTCAATAATGAAGCCAATTTTTAGTTGATTAAAATCAACAGCTTCAATTTGTAATTTGCTCAAAATTTGGTCTGTAGAAATATTTAACTTTTCAGAAAATTTTCCAATGAAATTGTTGACTGCAGTTTTATCAAAATCAGGTGAAGCCATATTTTTTTTGCAAATCTGCTAAAGCCTTTGTAACCAAAATAAATATAGGTACTACGGTAGATGATGTACAAATGTCATACTGAATTTTAAAATTTTTAATTCAAATTAAAATTCAAATATTAAAAAATTTCACTCGACTACTACTAGGCCTACACAATAATACTGTAAATTTACCAACTTCAATACTTAACCTAGTACAAAACTGACAATAAAAAGATCTAGTTCTAGTAGCTAAAAAAAAAAAATGATAAAAAATATAACATGTAATATATTTTAATTGCATTGGTCAAAATCAAACTAGAAATAAGCGAAGACCGTACCATCCAGACGTTTTTTGTTTTTTTACTGAAGACAGACATACGTGTCATATACTGGATAAATAGGGCTACGTCATCTTTAACGGTCCCAGTATTTTGAATGAGTCATGAATATCAATTTATGCCACATACGCATACAAGTCACTGTACACAAGCTAACGCAATAGAAACCGTTCTGTAAAGTGGAGAAATATATTTCCAACATCGTTTTGCGAATAAGTTGGATTAAAACGAGTTCTGCATATTTAAAAACTTACATTTATCTAGCTCAATCTTCTTCTGTAAGCATTCTCGAAAGAAAACCTCCCGCGAAGAGAACGTAATCGGGCCACGCCTCCTGGATTTTGTGTAGAGAATTGACGCGTGACCCCTTACTCACAAATCACGGTCGTAGCTATTTATTTATAAATATTTTAGCATAATTTTTTTGCAGTTGTTAGAACACATATTCGTCTTCACAAAGCCGCGTGCACGTGTAAAAATTTTCTTTTCTAAATATTATTAAAAGGCAATTTTTTCCTTCAATTTGGAATATCTTGGCTTCTAATTCGGTTAGAATTCGGGCGCAAGCGGTATAAACAATTTTAGGATTTCCTCTTTTTGATTGGACAGGAAATTTGGTTCTGCAATGCATCCCCATTAGCTACGAAGCGACTAAAAATAGCATACAAAATTCGAAAATCGTAAATATCTGTGTGCCACAAAATTTTACGGCGAGAAAATCCCTTGATAAGCCGTATACGCTTTTCAACGGACGATTTCTCGGCAGGTAATTAGCGTACCAAAATATAAATAACACCATTAAAAGGCTAATTCAATTCTGATTCATACCATATAAATCATTATAATTTTAAGTATAGACATCTGCTTACAAATTAGTGTTATAATACGTGTCCTGATTTTTGACGCCATGGATGAAAATTAGCCACGATGACGTCACAGCATTCATAGCCCTAAATATAAGGGTAACTTTATATTTCAATCCATCAGGTAAAGTTTTTATACGCCCAAATGTTCATGTGGACGTATATTGTCGTCGCCCCTGTCCGTCCGTCCACAATTGTTTGTGAACACTACAGGTCACAATTCTTATCCAATTTCAACGAAACTTGATATATAGGTTTATCTCCCCTAGATCTTGGTTCCTTTCGATATTGGCATGTAACGGACCGTAACTTCGTGGATTATAGCCCCTGATTCAGTGATTGTACGAAAAATCACGTTTTTAGATTGTGAGCACTGTAGAGGTAACAATTTTTATCCGATTTGGTTTAAACTTGAAATGTATGTTTATAACCCACAGATCTCCGTTCCTTTCGAAATGGCCCCTGATTGTACGAAAAATCGTGTTTTTATGTGGACCCCATAGAGGTCACAATTTTTTATCCAATTTAAAAAATAAAAACGTGAATATATCACCGTTACACCCTAAGGATGGTTGAGTTCGAATTTCGTAAAATCGGACCGAAACTGACGGACAAAATGGCCGGACCTCGTTCGCAAATAGTGTCAAGAAATATTGCGTATCAGGTTTGTGGACCCTCCGGAGGTCACAATTTTCATCTGATTTTGATGAAGCTCGAAATGCATGTTTATAACCCACATATCTCGGTTCCTCTCGATATTCGCGCATATCGGACCATAACTTCCTGAATTATGGCCCCTGATTGTACGAAAAATCGCGTTTTTAGAGTGTGGGCCCTATAGAGGTCAGAATTTTTATCCGATTTGAAAAAAAAAACCAACCTTTGAATATATCACCATTACACTCTAAGAATGGTTGAGTTCGAATTTCGTGAAAAATCGGACCGAAACTGACGGACAAAATGGCCGCCCCTCGTTCGCAAATAGTGTCAAAATATTGTGTATCAGGGTTGTTGACTCTCTGGAGGTCAAATTGTCATTTGATTTTGATGAAATTTGAAATGCATGTTTATAACCCAAATATCTTGGTTCCTTTCTATTTTCGTGCATATCGAATCATAACTTCCCAAATTATGGCCCCTGATTTTACGAAAAATCGCGTTTTTAGCTTGTGGTCCTCTAGAGGTCACAATTATTATCCGATTTAAAAAAAAACGTTCGAATATATCACCGTTACACCGTAATTTTGTCTGAGGTTGAGTTTCATGAAAATCGGACAAAAATTGCCAGACCAAACGGCCGCCCCTCGTACGCAAATAGTGTAAACATCTGGTATATCAAAGTTGTGGACCCTCTAGGGGCCAAAATTTGATCCGATTTTGATGAAACTTGAAATGCAAGTTTATAACCCAAAGATCTCGGTTCCTTTCAATATTCGCTAATATCAGATCGTAACTACCAGAATTTTGGCCTCTGGTTGACGAAAAATCGCGTTTTTAGCTTGTGCACCTCTAGAGGTCACAATTATTATTCGATTTAAAAAAAAAAAAAACGTTCGAATATATCACCGTAATGTTTGTTGACTTATCTTGAGTTAGGCTAAGAGTTATGCTGCTATTTCGCATACTTTGAAAAGTGTATTGTAGGGAGTCTTTCTTGAATTCTACGAGGAGCCGACGAAGTTGTTTTTGCGTTTCTCAATTAAAACGTTGTAAAAC